ATATAGATAGATATATAAATATATTAATATATTATCATTATAAAAGAGGGGAAATTAGAAATAAGAATCATTTGTCATTTGGAATAATAGCCTGTGTCTAATATAAGCCTGGGTGGAGCTATTACAGCACTATTTGAGAATTTCTAGTCTAATTGTACCTTTTATTTGTGACTAGTCCATGTATTGAACCTGTCCTGTCTTTGATGTTGTTTGTTTGTTTGTTTGTTTATTAGGATCCCCATTAGCACCAGTATAAGCATTGGCTATTCTTCCTCGGGTCCACCACACACACAGTGATAAACACTTATAAACGTACCCACATAAACACAACACACAAAACAACTCATCTCATTAAATTGTCATCAGTTTCAACAGACATTGAGCCACACGCAAAAAAGAAATTATAAATCAATCCCACTTTCTTAAAAAATCATAGCAAACCTGATTTTTCTTCATTAATACAAATAAATAGTTCTTAATAACCATGAATCATTGTCTGAATGGAAATCCATCCTGCGATTCTACACCTGGGTAAATAGGGTATATAGTAATGGCAGTGTGAAAGGGTGTGTGGGAGCATCATGTTGAACTTAAAGGTCTTGTTAGAATGTAAGATGAGTTTCTCAGCTGTGTTGTGGGAGCTGGAGATGTAGCTAGAAGAGAATGTGTTACATAGTTTTACAAGACAATCATTGTGTTTTACTGACTTTGCTTACGTGTACGTGTGTGTGTGTGTGTCTTAGGGGCTGTTTCAAGGAGTACTTCATTCATAAATTCAGAGCCATGCTGGGCAAAAACAGGATAATTTTCCCTGGAGAGAAGGTAAGCTGTGTTATTTGTACAAATAATTCTCTAATAACAACAGTACTCTCCTGACACTGCATTACAACTTTACATCACTTTACAGCTATTTATTTTCTGAATGTGTTATACAAACAGAATAATCTGCATGAACTAAAAAGATGTGATGCTTATCGTGTATTATCTGCTTGTAGGTGCTGCTGGCGGTATCTGGAGGTCCTTCTTCCTGCTCAATGCTCAGTCAAGTCCAAGAGGTTTACCTGTTTGTTTTAATGTAGTCGCAATAAAAGCTTCTTTTAACAGAGTGCATAGTAATTGTAGTAATTGTTGGCTCTGGTGCTGCATACTTTTACTGCACATGCTTCCTGTTGAAAATCATGTCCATGCCAATACTGACTGAGAGCCAGAGGTATGGACTTAAGTCGTGATTTGATTTAAACTTGACTGAGCAAAATCAAAAAAGACTTGCAACTCAAGCCCAAAGATTAAAATGTATGTTATATAAAAAGTGTGCCACATATTAGTGAATTCCCCTCCATTGCCAGAATCACGTTAACTCTATTCATTCCCCAGATCCACTTTGTTTGAGCCGAGCATCCCTTTCCTGTTTCAACATAACAGTGCTGAGCTCAATCACATCTAACACTTTTGTGACAAACGACCACATCACCCAACATCAGTGTTGGACCTCACTTTCATATTTTGGGTTGTAAGGAACTTTTCAGCCTTTAGGCTCCACTATGCAGAGATTAAATCAGTTTTAAACAAAGGCTGGGTAGATTCTTGAATATTAAGATTTGATCTTTAGACATGAGAAATAAATTTAAAGGAGCAGTGTGTAGAATTTATTAGCATCCAGCAGTTAAGACTGCAACTAACTGAACACTGCTTGCATCTTTATTTGACAGCCTGGGATTGAGAACGGGCTGTAAAATGTGTAAGAGAAACTACAGAGACTGCAAAACTGGATTTCTAATCTATCAAGATGCTGTATAAACCTGTAGATGCAATATAACTGTTTCCTTATTTTTGTTATAATATTAATAAGTGGAAACACTTTCTTCCTCTCAGGGTTTAAGTCAGAACGCTCACAAGAAGTTGAGATTCTTACCTGGCATTGTCTACATTGATGGTAAATAAGCGTAATCATTTTCATGTATGTCTGGAGGAATTCTTAAACTTGTGAAATGAGTCCAGCCAACACATCTGACACAGATTTTTTGTGTTTGTGTTCCCAGAGGGTAGCGCTGTAGGTCAGTCTGTGGAGGAGAGACGGAAGACGGCAGATGAGCTGCAGGCTGTGTTCAAAGCAACTGGTTTCCCCTTCCACATCGTGCCTCTGGAACAGGTCAGTGTGAACGCAGGAGGAGCCCCTTTCAATGCACCTTACCTATATTTGACAACCGTTTTACATGGCAGTCTCATGTCTGAATAAGAGTCATACTGGCAGATCAAATTTGATACTGAATGTGTCCCCAACCTCCCCTCAGGTTCTGGACCTTCCCAGTTCAGTTGTGGTGATGGCCCGATCGCCTGCAGAGCGGCCAGCCAGCGCCTACAAAGCCGCTGTGGACCATTTCATCCAGAGGGACAGCAGCAACTGTTTGACACAGAGGGAAGTGGAGGAAACATCACTTCCTGACGTCCAGGAGTCCCACACACAGTCACTGCAGCAGCTGATTGGCTCTGCTAAGACACTGACGGCCAGAGAGGACCTGCTAAACACACTAAGGTCAGACACATCAGTCTTATTGACATCTGTCTTAATGGTGCTTATTTGTTGTCTGGGATAATCCACCACTCTCTGGGGTTTTCCCATGGAAGTATGATTAGCTCCTTCCTGAAATGGAACCACAGGGTCAATGCTAAGTGGAAAGCGTGCAGCAAAGAAATGTAGAATCAATTTGGCATTGTCTTCACCAAGGAAGATTATGATGTTGATTAAAACACAAAATCAAGTACAGTCTGTATTTTTACATCAGCTCACTCTCAAACCATTTTGGGCTTTCAAAAACTATGGTTAGGAAAATGTGAAGTTATGAGCCAGATCAAATCGGTTTTTAGTTTGATTTTTAGAGAGCAGCACCATTCTTATGAATTTTGGCAATGCTCATATGTTGTTACTAAATGTAATCAGATTACATTACCCTTTGTGAGTAATCCAACAATCAGATACTGACTGTGTAAATTTGTTTGTTTTCCAAGTTGTCAGCATCACCCTAAAATACAAGAGTAACCAACAAAGCTAATATAAATAAATCCTGTTTTTGTTTTCTGTTTGTTGCCGGCTCATTTATTAAACCTGTTTACACTGAGGCTGTAACAGGCTATGTTAATATTGGGCTTGTTTTTGAAGCTGCTGTGCTTATTTGTGGAGAGTTGGCACTGATCCTGACCCCACTGTGTTCCCCTCAAAGGCAGCATGTGCTGGTGCACACAGCTCGTTCTGAAGGCTACAGTAAAGTGATGCTGGGGGACAACTGCACCAGACTGGCTGTCAAACTGCTCACCAGTATATCTCTGGGCAGAGGAGCACAGCTGGCTCAGGACACGGTGCGTATGTGTGGGTATGTGTATAGATGATATACACTGAGAGCAGCACTGCATTTACTCTAACACCTACAAATCCACAGATTGTACAGTTGTAAACTCAAAGTGCGTACAGCAGCAGCAGAGTAGCACGAGTCTGATTTCACATGACAGCGATGATTATCATCATGAAGCCAAAACATTTCAATCGCCCCCTGGTGGCTGACCGCAGTATAAAGCCTGCTGCCTCCATGTTAGCAGATGGGCCAAACTTAAAAAAGTGTTTCTCCCCCTCGCTCTCCTCTCCCCTGCCTTTACATGCTGCACTCAGTCTTAGCTTAAACTAGCCTTTTTAGCACATCAGGTTCATATTTTATTTGTGTGTGTGTGTGTGTGTGTGTTTTAACAGGGTTTCTCAGACTCCAGGTATGGTGACATAATATTGGTGAGACCAATGAGGGACTACTCGGCTAAAGAAATAGCCTACTACAACCACATGTTCAACGTGCCCTCTGTTTTCATCCCAAGCCTGGAAACTAAGGTGAGATCAACCAGCAGCAGTAGATCTGACAGTAACAGCAGGCCTGTAAACTGAAACATGTACATCCCCAGACTGTTGACTGTGCGTCTGTCTGTCTGTGCGTCTGTGTCTGTCCCATAGACAACAGACAAAGCTAGTATCCAGCGTCTGACTGAGAGCTTTGTCACTAAACTGCAGGCGGACTTCCCCTCTACTGTTAGCACCATCTACAGGTCAGTAGGGAATTACAAACCTGTAGATAAGCATTTATTCTGTAGAAAGTACTCAGTGTGACGGGTTTGACAATCGATGGTGGACATCTTTGAGTAGAGTATATGTACTACAGTGGGTCAGTCCACAATATGCTCATTGAAAAGCTGCCCTGTGTGTTCTGTAGGACCAGTGAGAAGCTGCAGACAGCATGTAAGAGCTCTTCAACAGCTGGCCACTGTGGCAGGTGTCTGCTCTGCATGTGTGCCCTGGATACTGCTGCAGGTGAGCGCTGTATGGAGCGGCTACAACAAGTTCAAACAACTTTTGTTTAATCTTAGAAATAGTTTTTTCTCGGGTTGAATGATAGGGCAAACACATCATATTGTAGTTATTTTGAAAGATATTGCTTCACAATTAGTGGGAATAATAATTCTTGCATTCACAAATTGAATTTTAACAAAAAAAATAAAATTACAAAAATCATGATGATGTGACATTTGGTGTCTACACTAAACTTCTTAAAACTGGAGAATAGGTTATTGACCAGGGCACCTCTGCAGCACTACAGTACTTCATTATAATACTGATTGTCACATTTTGCCTTTATCACAAAATGCACATGGTCATATTGCAATATAGATAATATTTCAATTAATTGTGCAGCACTCGTTTTCCAGTGTTCACAGCTCTCAGATCTTCGTAATACTAGTCCCAATGTGAATGCATAGGACAGAGGAACACATCAGATTTCTTCACCTTCAAACATTTATTATTGTAATTATAATATTAATTCAAATTTAAAATGAACAATTAAAAATTAATCAAATCTCTGTGAAGTGGGTAGTGGACGCCGTGTGCAGTGAAGACGTCTGGCCTGGCTGCAACAGATGCTTTACTTCCTTCTCTCTTCCCGTCTGTCTTTTCTTATCCAGAGGATGCTTCAGCCTTCAAGGCCACACTGATCTCAGAGCAGCTCTCCCAGACTAAATCTCCACGAGCTACCAGTACTGAGATCCCGAGACAAAACCCAGGTACAATGAACACATTTCACCTCTGTTCATGCCCTCTACTGTCTCTCTGTGGTAACCACTAGCTGTGATGAGTTTGTTCATTAAATCAGGAATAGAGTTCAGAAATGAGAGCAAATATAATCACCAGATTAGCTTTTAATGAGGCTTGGCTTGTCATGAAATGTAAGTTGATATTTTGTAGTGGCAGAACCATTCTCCAGCAGAGGTCACATGATGTGCCTCAGCATTCTCTGTGTGTTCGGGCCTCTGGAATCCTGCAGAGGGGACATACAATGTACACCAGACAGTAGTCCGCAACTGAGTTTCTGCCCTCAGTTCTGAGGCATTAACACAAGCTGTTCCCTGTTACCATTAAAGCTCCAGTGGAGCCAGAACCAACTGCTGCACAGTGCTGTTCCTCTGGAGGAGGAGAGGATTGTGGGAGAGCAGCAAATGGTGGAGGCTGCTGTTCTTCTGCCAAGTAAGTCTTCAGTCATTTATTTCTCTTAATTTGGGCAGTGATTAATCTGATGTCATCAGTTACACTTTGCACAGTGACGTCAACAAGCAGATTGTGGACACATTACTGTAAATGGGACGGAATCTTGGCCGCCTTTTCAACGAGTCAAATAATGGCCATCGCTCTGTCTTTCTTTATACAATTTCCCTGCAGTACAGGACTCCCCTCTCCATGTTATTATGGAGTTATTTAGTGGTCTGGACCTCTGCCCCCTCTTCACTCTCTCCATGGATGGGCTGATATACTGATTTAGATGATTCGGATAGAGGTTTAACAGCCTACAGCTACAGTATGCTAGCTGCTCTGTGAGGCTGTACATGCTCGTATCAGTCGGCCTGTCACAATAACTACTTCTGTTAGATGATATATTGTCCCAGAAAGAATTGCGATAAACAATATTATTAGCATGTTATGCCACTGATATAATAAGCACAATAATGCAAGTAAACCCTTTCCAAAAGAGATGAACTTTTAATCTTTATATTATTATAATATCATAATGGTAGGGGAACCCCTGCTGTTTATTCTGGACCGTTGTTGGATAGAATGTTGGTGAACGTGTTGCTATATTACAGGGTACCAGAGACAACCCATCTGAAGAGCCTGCTGTGTTACAGCTGTCAGCTGACCATCAAAGACATGGTGAGTAAAAACCCCAGTGAGCAGGAACCATCTCCAAATACAGCCTAAACTTTGTGTCTGTTTAATTTTAATCCAAAATCTAAAAAATCGTGACCTTAAAATTGAGTTTGTCCCATGTTTTTCAAAGTAATAAAATAAGAACATGTAGGTGTTTCTCTGCTGCTGTTTTACTCCCTTTTGTTGTAGTCTTCAGTGGAACTGCTCCCGCTGTACATCCTGTCCGAGGCTCAGAGGAGGCAGAGAAGGTGAGGAGAATATCTGGCTCATTTAAATAACGCTCTCTTGAGGTGTTTTTGGCCAAAAAAGAGTCAATGCTCTTAATGGGAGACAGAAACCAATAAGTTCTGACTGATGAGCTGTTTTGGCTCCAACAGTCTTCTCGTTGCTCCCATGACTCTGTAATATGTACATGATCCCTGGACACAGAGCCGATGGAACCTTCCTCACATTAATACATGAAACACAAATGTCATATTTCCATCCTGTTTCCACATAGATTTCCATTGTTTGAGCTTCCACTGGCGCTCTTTCTTTTCTTTTCTTTTTTTAATGTATAATGTTAAAATTAATTAGAAAATTGGGAAAAGGGTGTCGTCCAGGAACCAGTATCAAAAAATGTTCAACGATGCCCAGCCCTAGGTATATACACAATATGTAAATGTTGAGCAGTCATATTTTTACCTGAGGTGTGTTGTGTTCTGTAGGTCTCAGATGAGAGAGGAGATCAGTGAGTTCCTGCTGGATGGTGGTGATGAAGGTGTCTAGAGAAAGGAGGCTGAAGCAGCTCCAGCAGTCCACTCTGGAAAAAAATACACCACAAGGACTTTTAAATGTAAATGCTTAACAAATGTATTGAGGGAAGTTTTACCAAACCAGCCTTACATTATCTATATGCCGTTACACCTCCTGCAAACAGAACAGATTAAAGTATTTTATTTTTATATGTAAAGTTGTCCTCATCCATTCATTATCTGTCATCAAAGCTGGTAAACAGTGACCTTTAACATCCCTGCCCTTGCTGGCGTTTCCAGAGAAACAGAACTAGTGAAGCAGATCACAGATCAGTTTGAGCTTTGTACTTGTTATTACTGTTATAATAAACTTTATTTAAAGCTGCTTTCAACAATGATGTGTATGCACAAAAACCATGTGTACGTCTTTACCCACACATAAACTGGTATTCAGAAAAGAATATTGTGTGGGGAGAATGTGTGCCCCTCCTGCATACTGCAGGTGAAATGATGAGGTAGACGTGGGGATGCATGATAATCATTGGGACAGCTAAATTATAATATAAGTGGGAAATAATGGGGACAGAGCTGACGTATGAAGAGCACTCACACATCGGCTTCAATCAGCCATGAAAGACCTTCTGATACCCACTGGCCCCCGACTACTTTCAGCTGTCCCAGACTAAACAACCACTGTCCCAGTTTTTCACTCTACATAATAAATATAGTTTAAAACCTGTTTAACTAACTCATTTCTTCATTGACTGACTCTGGTCCACCATGGAACTTCTGCTGGCTGTTCTCTTCACTTAAAGCTCAATAAAAATTATTCCTTTAGTCACTGGCTGAGTTACTGTTTATTTATTTTTAAACAGCTCAGTGGGTAGAGCTGGTGACCCATGTACTGAGGCTGAGTCCTTACTGCGGTGGCCCAGGGTTCAAATCCGACCTGCAGCCTTTTGCTGCGTGTCATCCCCTCTCTCTGCCCCCCTTTCATGTCTGTCTCCAGTTATCACTTTTAATTTAAAAAAATCCTCACGCTGGCCATTTTTCCTGCTTCTAACGCATCAACTTTGAGGACAAAATGTTCACTTGCTGCCTAATATATCCCACCCACTGACAGGAGCCATGATAACCAGATAATCAGTGTTATTCACTTCACCTGTCAGTGCACACTTTACAATGTCCAGTGCTCATGATGTATTTCTGTTACAAACTGATAGAATATTGAGCTAAATGTAGCAATTCTGCAAAAGCATTTTTGTAAAATATAAGGCTTAGGAAGGTGACCACCCCAAACCATTTAACAACAAAACAACAAAAATAAAACGTTGAGCAATCCAGAAAATGTTGCTGTTATGTGGTATGTGCAGTGGTATCAGTAGCATCAGACATTTGAGTCATTGCTGCAGCAGTGTAGCCTGCAGGGTCTTACTCCCACATGAGGAGTTTGAAAAAAAGAAAAGAAAATAATGTCCAAGTAAATAGCTGCAGCTATATAAATCTCTCAGACAGCAGCCTGTTTGGACCGCTTTATGTGCTCTCTCAAGGTGAGGAGAAGAGTCTCTCTTTGTCTCAGTGTGAAGAACTCATCACTGGGACGGCCGAGGCAGCTGTAGCTTGAAGCTGGGTTATTCTGTAAGATATTTCACATGGTTCAGACACCTGCTAGAGCATGCTGGGTATGAACCACAGGGACGTGCAACTTACCCTGTATATCAAACAGTCTTCATAGTCTTCTGCAAAGGTTTTTAGGGGTTCTGTCAGGTCAGCACAGATGTGTGTGCACATCATCTGCAATCACAGTGTCTCACTCATTCATTATCCACATACGTATTTTGTGGAATTATTATTTTCCCGCAATATGGTGCACTCAAGCTCAGACTCACTAACTTGAGCTGAATTTGATATTGAATAAAAGCTGCACTATACAAGTTTTGACTTTTATCAAAAAAACTTTCACTATATCCTGACAGTGGTACATGAGACAGATCTGTGAAAAACAAAAATCATGTTTAAGAATTGATACATATCATAAAAAAATATATATATTGTGATACTAATATTTCAACAGTCAAATTTACAGCAGTGTGGATGTCTGTGAGCTGTCAGAGAGAAGATGCACGAGCATGAAATGAATTAAAGATTAACCTCAGTGTGAAAAACTGAATAAACATAATGAGACAAGTGTTGAAACATACTAAAATAAAACAGATGAAATTCACAATAAAAGCAAAAATCTTCATGTTATTGCTATTGGATGAACATCTCCAAACTATTTTGATCTCTTACAGCTTTGCAAACTGGGATGGTGGCTCTAGACACCAGGTCAGAGGTCACAAAAGCCATTACAAAGGATTCTCTGGTGATATTAATACCAGGGCTTATGGCAGTTTGGCAGGACAGCACTGCCACAGTGTGACTGAAAAATTAGGTTGGGCCAGGCCTTAAAGCTACAGCAGGTCATTTTTAAAAACATAATTTTTTATCATATTTGCTGAAACCTTCACTATATCCTGACAATAGAACAACAGCATTTTTATATTTATTTTTATAAAAGTTGCCTACTGCAGCTTTAATTAGGTTTATTTTCTGATATTGATATGTCAGAAATAGTAGTTCTATATAAAACAATGAAATATGTTTAAGCCATTGACAGTATAAATGTGGTTGTCTGTCTGCCAGTGTGTCAACACTTTAAGCTCCTGTAATATTCTTTACTCACATTTAAATTTATGAGTAATTCAGTATTTTCCATCTCTTCCTCCACTTTTGTGCGATCGTAAACACATGCTGCGTTTTGTTTCAAAGGGTGCTGTGAGAGTGAAGACAGTGGAAGTGGGTAGAGGTAATTAGAGAAGACTAAACACCCTCCAAACATAGGGGAAAGATAAAAAGGTCCCATGTGGCTGATTTATCGACAATAATCCATTCTGAGGATGAAGCCATGTGCAGTGTTTTATAATAACATGTTGTAAGAGTGTTATAGCAATAAAGGCATGCTTTAGAAATTGTTTGTAAGTTGGAACTAATGATTCATGTTAATCTACCAATGTATAGCCATTAATTAATAGTTCATAGTACAGTCATCATAAGCCGGGTAACCACGTACTAGTGAAAGCTCTCCCAATGGGTCCTGGGTGGGGGGGCCACAGTAGATCACGTGCTGTGAAACTGAATCCTCTGCCGTCCTGTCCCTGTTGTTGTATGCCAGGCCTGGCTCCAGGATACTTGCCTTTAAGTCATTTGGAACACTCCTCCTTTGGACAGCTACCTGTCAGACAGATAACTACACTGTAAAACCTGATGAGTTAGTTTAACTCAAATTATTTAGGAAACCGATTGTCTTAAACAGTTTAAATGTATTACCTCCGTTTTAAATCGCTATGTTCTAACCTCAATAAATTTTAGGCAAATTAATTTGATGTTGGAGTGGAAAAGATTTCATTAACAACGAAGTTATCTCAGGGACTTCAAATAGAGGGCAGGGGTCTAGACCCCTGAACTCCTTATGACGAGTTTTTAACAGAGAGCAACAGTACACAATTGAGCAAGGGGGACCCTTTGGTAACTGGGGGCAACTGGGAAAAATCTGCCCTTTTAACAGGAGAAGACCACATAGGAGCAGACCTTCGTGCTCTTAGGTGGGTGGGTCATCTGCCTCTGACCAGTGGGGGTGAGGAGAGAGAGAGAGGAGAGAGATGAGGAGAGGAAGAGAGAGGAGACGCAGACCAGAGTGTACAGTAGCAAAACTACATTAATAGTAGTGATCGATGAGCGATCATTGAAAAAGACGATGACGATGACAGCAGCAACGATGGGGGACAGCGAGCAGCGACAACAGTAACTGTAGCAATAATAATACTTAATAATAACTAATAATAATAACGACAATAATATCAGTGATATTAGCAATGGCAGTCAAGCAGGACCATGGCAGGAGGCTCCACCAAGACGATAAAGGACATCATCAACAATCCAAAAATACTTCCATTCTTCTCGCCTACTCTATGTAAAGCACACTGTAACATGGGCTTTGAAAGGGCCATAGAAATAAACTCTATTATACAAACTGTACAACAATAGAGGCAAAATAAATATGAGTTTTAGAGAGGAATATATTAATGGCCAAACAAATTAAAATGTCACCGAAACATTGTGAGTAAGAAAACAAGCAATGTAGTGCAGCAATCACATGTGATGGCTTCATAACCCTTATTTCCCCATTGCACCTGGCATGGCCGAATCATGGTCCTGTGAGGCCCCTGGGTTCATGTCTTTTGGAGCCCCCCACCCCCACCATAAAAATCTCTGGGCCCTTAGTGGTCAGACCACGCTTCAAACGCCAAGGGGCCTTACACTGTAAGTGCTATGGACCTCTGCTAGTAAGCCCTACACTGTAAGCACAGAGGGGTCTGTAGGGCCCTCGTGGTGAGTGCACATTTTTTAAACACCAATGGGCCCAGGAGTCCTCACATTTTTAGCGCTGATGGCATACCGAAGGCCCTGGAGCTCAACTTCGAAGTCTTGGCCCACACCACGCACTGTGCACGGCCTGAGGCTTGGAGATTCTCTGGCTCCTCGAGGTGCTGGCCCCACTGGTACCTCGCATGGGCTCCTTGCTTGCAATGTACTTTGTATTGTTGATCCTGTTTTTGTTTACCAAGCGTAGAGGATAAAGAAAGACCTAGAGGATGCCATGTGTCACGTTTTGCCTTGGTCAGATGTGAAAAGTGCATCTATATGAAGGTGCAGTATAAGATCCATGTAGGGAGGAGGGCAGGGCGGATGCATGGGTCAAATTATCTTTTTTTAAATCTATCCAAGGATTAGATTAGATTTAGGCGCAACAACTACTTGGTTAACTTTATGAAACAAAAGTGGTCTGTAAAACAATATGTACTTGATTAACATGATTCATGTTAGAAAGAATGATGGTGTAGGCTACGTGCTTTTTCATATGGAACCATTTTAGAATACCGTGTTCCTCAAAGAGACAGCACAATA